TTCTACAAAGAACAAATTATTTTGTAATAAACTTGCAAAGCTGAAATATGCTTTACCTGTATTATGACGGCATATTATAGATTCTTTAAAGCTGCCATGGAAGAATTAATCTTTTTCATTCCTTTCAAGTTAGATATTAATTTTGTAGATACAGCTCTATCATCTAGATACACATGCACACATTTGAGATTATATATATACACACATGCACATATATATGAGTGTGTGATTGTGTGTTTGTATGTATATATATAAATGTAGGCAATATATTTTTATTATCTCTTGATAATAATAACTTGGATGAGAAATATATAATAGAATTTCCTGTCCATAATCTTATTTTCAATAAATAATCCCATTCACAATAATTCTCCTTATACAACAGAAATTCAGCCATAACATCCCATGGTTTTCTTCACAAGTAAATTGCAGTTAGGTACATTTTTATTAGAATTTGCATGTGAAAGAAATATTAAAAGTTTCTTTTTTTTAATTTTCTTTCTTCTGGAGAAGTAAGTTTATTACAGAAAGCATATAGTATGCTTTCTTTTCCCTCATCAGGAACATAGAAGTGGAATTAATACTTAAATTTTAAAGTACAACTATCTTTAACTCCAACAAAATTAATTTTTTGGAAATTACTTTTGGAATGGCTTTTGAGTTATGACAAGCTCCTTCTGAAAGCTCTGGCAGACAGCCTCACACATTTTCTTTTTAAGATGGTTTCTGATTAGAGACCTGTGTGTAAATCAAGGAAAAAAAGATGACAATATTCATGGCCTAGAGACAGTGAAATAATCAAGGTTCTCTGTGGTTTGCCAAGATAAATACATAGATAAGAAAACTATTAATCTGCACATTTTCACTATTAACAGTGATTTGACATTTTCAAGCAATAGAAGGTAAATGAAAACAGAAATCTGTGGTGTTCTTCACCATAATAAGTCAGCACATAATAATAAAAGTTTTTCAGATCTCCTGTCTTATGTGTTTATAATAATATTCAGCTACTACTTAGTGTGCTTTTCATCAGTAAACTTCAAAGTATTTTTCAAAGCAGGCAATCTTTAGAAAAGTTTGGAAAAATTCCAGCTAAAACATGTTTTAATCAGGTTTTGCATAAGAAGGAAAAATAAACCAATTTGATTTCCACCAGTTTTCCCAGCCATCAGGTAGTATTTTCATAGAAAATACAAACTGCATCTCGGTTTTATATTTTGCAATGCTTTGTGTTGGCACAGACATCACAATTGCCTGAAACACTGTTTGAAAAGGAATTAGCGATTTGTTTACAGCTTCTTTAAAATTTCTATTCATCCAGCAAGATTATGTGAAAATAACTTGGTTTTGAAGAAAACAATATTTGATTGTAATTTGGAGTTTTTCATGTATAAGTATCCTCTGACCGCAGATCAGAGTGATATATGTAGGGAAAGAAAAGAGGGGCATGCGCAGGTCACAAAACTGCTTAGAAAGAGTAAAGAAAGTTCAGTATCAGGTCCCACAGGTAAGAGGAGAATAAAATTTTTAAAAGTAACCCATTGAAAAGGCAAAATCACCTCAGTGCTTAGATGCCCGTGTACCTCCCAAAGCATGCACAGTTCTAGTGGCAGGGTTATCCTGCGATTTGTGAAATACTGTTTCTTTTTTTAAAGTCTTAATATTTTATTATTCCATGCCAGGGAGCTGAAAGGTGAGAAGAACAAACTAAACCCGTTCACTAAGGTCCTGGCAGACGCTCTTTCACTGACCAATCTGATTGCTGAAGAGGATTATTGTCAAGCAAAGAGAAGGAAAAAAAAAACCCACCTCTTTAAGAGAAAGGTTTTCAATGCATAAAAGAGGGGTTTTTTGTGTGATATGGATGCAGAATGCAGTGTTTGATGACCCCAGATATATTCTTTCCTCCTAAGATATATAACACTGTCTCTTATGCTTGTCTTAATAGACTAAAGGTCTGTATTTCTGCAGAGCTCTTGCACTGCAGAGAGGAGATATATTAATGATGTTAGCTTCAGTGCTGGCCGTGTGCGCTTCAAATAAGAGCTGAACTGAAATCTCCATATTCACTTCACAAAGGTCAGTGAACAGATATCATTGCAATACCTCTTTTAAGCCTGAGGGATCTGATTAAATGTTGTATCATTTTAAGTTTATGTCAGTTTAACTTCTCCAAAATCATGCCGACACTGAAATCGGTGGAGTTAGAAATGGCATAAAGCTGGAAGAAAGTAGTGGTGAGTCATGCCTTTTTATTTTCAAATATAGGAGCTGAGTGGTTACAGTGGCTTTACCATGAAGCCAGAATAAAAGGGGACATTTGGAGTGGGTTTGGATGACTTGTCTGAACCTGTAGCTCAGAAGGCATGAATCCATGCAAGCCAAAACTAAAATATAGTGCATGCACACATCCCATTGAACAAAACCTGCTGACTTTCATACAGCTTTAGCTAAAAAGTCATATTCATCTGACATTTTTTCTGTGATGAATTCTTCACAAAAATCTGCAAGTAGTCAGATAGAGAGTGTTTGCAGGGAAGAAGGCCTCATAGAAAGAATGCGATCAGAACAGATTTGCTGGTATATACAACATGTAACAAAAAAAACAAAAACAAAAACAAAAACAAAATACCCGGAAAACAAAAGTAGTAATCTCTTCACCTATTTGTGATTTTACAAATTGATCAGGCAACTGCCCACCTTCAAGTCTGAACTCTTTCTGTAAATTTTTGTCTTTTTGAATTAGTGGTAAAATCTCCAGACTCTACGCATTCTATTCATACGTTTAGTGATGTGCAGTGAAGCATTTAATTTTTTGCAATACAGCTCACAGGTATTGTTCCCTTATCAGTCATACAGGTAGTGATTTAGGGCTGAATACCAGTAGGTACTAAGTCAATATCCCCTCAATGAGTATTGCACTACTACCGTATTACTTGGAGAGTGATGAAATTACAAGCTTTTTTTTAACTCCTCTGAAATATAGCTAGGTTCTGGCCCTAAAGCACTGCAGTAAAAGAGTGTAAGTGTTGGCATGATATACCATACACTCAGCCAATTTGTGAACACTAAGTGTGTTTTAAAGTTTGTGCACTACTTCTAACCACTGCAGTAAATCTAGATCAATAAAAGTAGAAGCCCTCAAGGTTTTTTGGAAAAAAAATACCCTAACTTTTTTTGTACATTTCTGGCTGGAAAGTCTCTCGCTTTTCTTTTCCCTTCATACACCCAATGCACAGAGTGAATTTTAATAAAAAACAGATTACACGAAATTAATCTTTCCCTTCTAGCTTATCTATAATTAGTGACTTAAGCTCGATCTAGTCTTTGCCATCCTAAGACTGGGAAGTATTTTATAGGTGTATTTTTACCATAGAACCCTTCTACATCAATACTATTGTCACTGTTGTATAAAGGCAGAAACTGAGGAGCAAATGTTTCCTGGAACCGTAGAACAAGACCAGGGCAGAGATTATTAGAGAACCCAGAACAGCCAAATCACAGCCCCATTCTTTTTTCCCTTTGAAAACACGCAGTGAAAATAGTGAAGTCCAACAACACTGCCAAGAGAATATTTTGAAAGCTGTGAAGGCTGCAGATATGGCTGAATACCTTCTGGGATCCATGACTTGCTCATGTGAGGAATTTTTACTCATTCAGGTAGTCCCATGGAAAACAATACAACTGTTAAACAAGGAGTGTTTTGGAGAGCATAAACATATTGAGTTGGCAAATGTAGAACTGCATGTCCAAGTGTTATTTCTTAATGTACTTGCTTTCACAGTGGTAGCCTAAATCAACAGCTAAAACTCTTAAAAAACCCTAACAACCAAAACTATGAGGTGCTAATTCCGTAATATAAAATTACCCAGACTACTGATCCCACCATATACTATATATCAGTAATTTAAACATACTGCAGAGTACAAAAGTTACGCAGTTAAGAGAGAGAGGCTATGGGAAATACTGCAATGCAAACACCTAACATTTGCTGATGTAGATGAGTAGAGTGACCAAGATTCACAAACTACATTGTCAAGAGGAATCTGAACTCACATAGGCAAAAAATGAAAATATAACACTAGAGGAAAATGGTTAGCAAATGAACTCATCATACGGGGCAATATCTTTCAAACTCTGAACAGGAACCAAAAAAAACCTCAGCAGGAAATGAGGAAAAGAGGCTCTTCATAGAGATGGGCTGTTAAAGGAGATGGTTCTGGACTGTGAAGGAGTTTGGCTGGCAGCAGAGGATAAATGCCAGAAAGGGGAAGGAAAGTACTTGAGAATAAATGATATTGCTCTTGCTGGCCTTTTTTTTTTTTTTTTTACATAATTTCTCAGATGGTTTCCTATTTTATCCCAGGTAACCCAGAAATATAGAACTCTATGGCTGGAAGGGGCAAAAATGGCACAGTTTTTCTGCCTGCCTTAAAGTAGGCTCAGTTGTTCCTGTCAATCCTAAGAGATATTTGTATAACCTGTTCAGAATGATCTCCCACGTTGGCAGCTCCATGGCTTGCCTGCTCAGTGTACCCCTGTGTACCACAGCCCTCACAGGCTTCTCGCTCCTAGTATTTAACCTGAATTTTCCCTGCTAGAAGTTAAACACAATGCTCTTGTCTTGCCTTTCAGCGGGACAGAATAATTTCTTTCCCGTTTGCTGAATTACCCACCACAAGGGGTGATTCTGTGATGGCTGTGGTCTGTAAGCAACTCTGGACTACGAATAGTCTAGACTCTAGACTGTGAACAGAGACCGCGCGGAGAGAGACAGCGGCGGCGGTGAGTGCTGCGACTTGACATTTGAACCGGATGGAGACGGAGAGCGGGCCGCCCGCGGACGGAGAAGCCGAGGGAGAGCGGAGAGGCCCGAAAGGAGTCGGGAATCTCGCGAGGGCGCCGAGAGGCTACACGTGACGGGGGGCGGGGCCGGGCGAGGCGCGGCACATTTAACAGTGGCTTTAGCCGTAGCGCGTGGCGGGCGCGCGTGTAGGGATGTGAGCACGCAGAGCGCGCGGGAAGCGTCCGTCAGTGATCGGTCCCCGCCCGGCGCCAGACAAGACCGTGGTCCCTACGCCTGCAACGAGCACCACAAGGAGGAGTGTGAGGACTCGGACCGAGCTCCCGCGGAAACAAAGGCCAGGTAAATCAGGATGGAGGTGTAGGTGGCGATGAGGTAGCTGCCAGTAGTCCAAGGGCAATGAAGAGAGACTTTAGGGCCCTTGGGCAGCTGGTTGAGGGATCTGGAGCACAAGTTGTGTTCTCCTCTATCCCACCACTTGCAGGAATTGATGAGGGGATAAACAGGAAGAGCCAGCAGATTAGCTCCTGGCTCTGAGGCTGGTGTACTGGGAGGACTTTGGTTTTTTTGATCATGGGATGACCTACAGGACATTGGGCCTGCTGGCAACAGGTGGGGCAAGCCTTACCCAAGTCTTACTGGGGCAAGAATTAGCAGGGCTCATTGAAAGGTCTTTAAACTAGATTTGAAGGAGGATGGGGATGAACAGCATGGTGAGTAGGGCTCAAGAGGTGATTGTCCCCCTGTACTCGGCGCTGGTGAGGCCCCACCTTGAGTACTGTGTCTAGTTTTGGGCCCCCTACCATAAAAAAAGACATCGAGGTGCTGGAGCCAGTCCAGAAAAGGGCAACAAAAAGGGTGAGGGGTCTGGAGCACAAGTCTTATGAGGAGAGGCTGAGGGAGCTGGGGTTATTCAGCTGGGAGAAGAGGAGGCTGAGGGGAGACCTCCTTGCTCCCTACAACTACCTGAAAGGAGGTTGTGGAGTGGTGGGGGTTGGTCTCTTCCCTCAAGTCACAGGCGACAGGACTAGAGGAAATGGCCTCAAGTTATGCCAGGGGAGGTTCAGACTGCATATTAGGAAAAATTTTTTCACTGAAAGGGTTATCAGCCATTGGAATGGGCTGCCCAGGGAGGTGGTTGAGGCACCATCCCTGGAGGTGTTCAAAAGACAGGTTGATGTAGTGCTGGGAGATATGGTTTAGTAATGGTGTTGCTTTTTGTTTGTTGTGCGGGTGTCTATTTTTGTCAAAGTTAGGTTGATGGTTGTACAAGATGGTCTTTAAGGTCCCTTCCAACCTAGAAGATTCTGTGAAACCAGGATTACTAAAGAGGAGCCTGGGAGCAGATTACCAGTGCTGGTGGGTAAAAGCACGAGCAAGGTCTTGTGGCCTGTTGTCTCAGTAGAGGTGGGGGATGGTAACCCATGTGGTAGTGATGACATCAGGGACAGTGATAGGTTGGCAACCACAGTAGGGTCTGAGCACGGTCATGGGGGTATTGGGGCTCAGCACCCCATAAAAGTGGCAGGAAAATTAGCCCAGCTAAAGTGCATCTACACAAATGCATGCAGTGTGGGCAACAAACAGGAGGAGCTGGAGGCCATTGTACAGCAGGAAAAATTTCCCTTTACTTTGCACTGGTGAGGCCACAACTGGAATACTGCATCCACTCAACTGCAGAGTTGCACAGAATTTGATGTGGCACAACAAATTACTCCATGTAACTCAAGTCACATGAGCTCTGTAACACAAGATGTTACACATGGGTTGAGATAGAAATAGAATTGCTTGCCTTACCATGAAACTCACTGGTATACAGTAAAACTTGTTTTACTTCTCCTCGTAACCAGGTTAATGAAATTGAATGAGAAAACTAAATAAATGGACCAGAGAGAAAAAACAATTATTGAGCCTGGAGGTTATGGCCTCGCAAAAACACTACATGTCCTCATCTCTGGGAAAAATGAAGTCTTAGCAAGAGGAAAATGTTACAAATGCAGGGTCATGATGGAGAAACAAATTTTATCACTTGACTTTTGGGGTTTAGGATGACATGGTCATGACATCTTACACTGGTATATATATCAATCATTCCTCCACAGCACTGAAGGAGCTACAGGTTCCCCAGGGCAAGAGACATACAACTGTGTATCACAGGATATAAATGACATTTCACCCCATCTTTAGGAATGATTTCACCAAGAAGTTTCTCTAAACAGCACAATACCAATTTAGTGGCAAACTACTAAGATGCTTGGCAGCACAATACATACTGAAATTCCCCTGCAAGATTTTGAAAGACTGCTGATTTTTTCCCCTCTTCCTTTTCCAATAGGAAAAATTGTACATTTTTTCCTGTGCAAGTTGATCCAGCACAGCTGGAACTTTTCCTGTACCAAAGCATGCAATACCACCAACAAATCTTTATGACTGTATTATAAACTAATTGTTCTCTGTGACTGTGAGAAGAATGAGAAGACTATGCTCCAGATGCAAATACTTTTAGTGTAGTATTGATAGCACTCTCTCATTTGCCTGTAGTCACAGTGAATCAATCATATAGTTAAACTATATCCAGACAGCAAGATTATATTTACTACATTCCTGCTTAGACAGGTACTCCTTTTTCAAGGCAGGTGTTACAATACTCATCACAAAGGAGACAGCACTTGTCAACAAAGATTGCATAACTAAATCAGAAATATTATTTTATACATTCTTAGTTAAAATGGGTAGGTACTGCAGTAACTCATCTGTGCTGACGGATGCCTCCTGCTCTTTGTAGCAAATGAATTATTGGATTAATTCATACTGTAATAGGAGACCTACCTAAAGAAGGAGGGAGGATTAGGTTTTAAAGTGTAAAAGCTTCTGGTTTCAGTCACAGTCATATTATTAACTGCAAAATCAAGCTGTGTTTTCATCTAGGTGTTGGTCTAAGTTCCTCTCTGCTTAGATCACCAGGAACATATGAAACACAGCAGTTTCTTGATGAGAAGAAGATTACAGAGAAGAATAATGATAATTCCAGGAAAGCAATGCCCCTCCTGGGCTGAAAGCTGTGTAAGGCAGAGACCACATTACTGACCTGCAACTCTAATAGTTGCAATGAATATTGACTGTCCAAATGAATATCAATCATACAAATAATAGTCATAATATCTAGATTCTGTCATTATCTAGCTGCAACACAGTGAGGAAACATGACTACCAGAAAACAGAAAGAGCTATACTAAACAGATGATGTTACGGCTTGATAAAACATAGACATTTGTAACGATGCAAAGATCAATACATGTCTCCAAGAGTTTAATTCAGAGCTGCATATTTATGCAGAACACTAAGGATCAGCATTGTTTAGTCCAGTGTCAGGCATAGGTTGTGTAAACAGCTGCACAGAAAAAAAGCTGGGAGCAGCAAAACAAAACACCTGTCATTCAGTCCAGCCCAGTGCTAGCCATACATCAGTCATTCATTCACCTTCTCCTAGGGCAGGAGGATGAAATGCAGCAAAGACAGCAATGATTCAGTGCAGCACTGAGAAGCCCAACACTGCTTAGTTTCTCCTCCCCTGTTTGGCTGACTTATTAAAGATGGAGCAAAGGGTTTGCAAAAGGTGATACTTTTAATTTCCACAGCTCTGCCAACCACCATAATTAGTAAGATCCTTGTGAGCCCATTAGCTGTAGTTGCAAGGTATTTTATGCTCTTAGGGGGAAAGAGAGCTTTGCTTGGTCCCAGTGGGGAAGTATGGATAGACTTTAATGGAGAAAAGTGGACCACTAAATGGACAGCCTTTCCAAGAAGTTGTTTTAATTTCTTTCAACCAAGAGTAACATCTCTTTTTTTCTCCTCCTGTGTAGCGCTGAACAAATTCCAGTTAGTTTGGTTCATTGTTTAATCATAAGGCTTTTAACAAGTGAGGAGATGTTTCCTTGAAAATTATGCACCGGGGGAGTGGAGTGAGAATTTTTGCTGGGGGATATGTAACACATTGTATGTTTTGTGGGAGGAAAGGTAAACTATTGGAGGAGAATATGAAAGTCCAGATGAGTTGGAGTAACTTAAATTGCAGATCAGTATTTCTTCACATATGATCCAACACTTGTGAAGAAGGAAAAAATTCAAAATGTTTCTGTCTTGCTTTAACAGAACTGCTAACACACCAGAAAATAAGGAAAATATAAAAATAAAGGCTAAAAAAATAAGTAAAATAATACTTAATATATGACTGCAGAATACAGTCTAGTTGTTCTTACAGCTCTTTTAAGAAGTGTGGATCTAAAGAGACTCCCAACATGCCTTGGATTGTCTAAGGTAAATGATCTGATTTTTAAATTTTTAATTAATTAATCTGTCAGATATTCCTGAGAGATGACTAAGATCTGTCTCTCTAGCTGGAACTGAAGTTTAAGCACATATTTCATTGTTCGGTTCAGCAATGTCCTCTTTTGACTTTGAATGGTGACAAGAAACAACAAGAAAGACAAAAGCAAGAGAATTAACCAGATTATCTGAAATGTAAGACCAATAAAAAAGACAGAGATAAAGACTGTAAAGAGAAAAAACAGTCTTATTTACCTCACTAATGTTGTATTTCTTTCTGTAGACAAAATCAGAAATTATTTCAATATGATCTAATTTGAAACATACAGTCAAAATTTTTTTAAAAAAATGAAACAATCAAAACCTACTAATTGCTTTAAAAAAGTAAAATAAATTCAGGGCTTTGTTAATTTCAGAAAAAGAAACATACACAGGCTGCCTTATGCGTGGAGATTGTTTAGCTAGCTTATACAGAGGCCTCTGGAGTTAGACTCTCCCTGCATAATGGAAATAACCTAGAAATCAGACAATCCCTGAATCATTTCCCTGGATTATAGTTCAGAAACTGAAAACAACTTGAAATACTAGGATACCTAGAATGACCTTTGAAAACTCATTCCTTACAAGTTAAACAGATGGGTGTAGAAAACTTGTTATTTTGGAAAACATTAGTTTAAATCAATGCTTCAATAAAACGTTGCTTTTATAGCAAATTCTCATTTTCCAATGAAAATACACAGCATAACATTCCAGAAAAGCTCTCTGGCTGTAACAGAAACTGCTCTGTTTTCTCCAATATTTTCAAATATCAAAATGAGATGCAGAAAAAAAAATACCTAGAGCACAATGAAAACTATTTATTAGTCTGCTAGGAGAAAGGATATCTGTAGTTAGGGGGGAAAATAGCAGCTGTGTTTTTTTTAAAAATTAGCACAACTCTCATGCTAACACATACAAAAGGTCTGCCATGAAAATGGAGTTGGCATTTCTGGGCTTTTTCAATGTTTATACATGGT